CACATCGCACTTTCGTATATTGTCTATTTTTTTCAGTACCCAATGCTGTTATACTGATCTCTGAGCACCACGAATTGTCGCTATCTTCGCTTTTGCAAAGTAGAAGGTATATGCTTCAACAACCATTCTTTATTCGATCATTTATAATTTCCTTTTCGAATAGTTTGACCTGCAAAGAAATCCTACATCTAACGTTGCAACTTGCTGAGGGTATCGTTGCGCTTCATGAAGAAGGAATTTGCTTTGGACTACTCAATTCTGATTCCATTCTCCTACCGAGTGGTGACAACGGTTCATTAACTGCTCGAATCACTCAATATGCTATTAGGTAAAGTTCTGTTGCCTCAGTTTTTGTGACGTATACCCTCATGATGTTCTCAGTCACATCTCGAATAACGGTATGGACATACAAGGCGGGCTGCCCCTTGGTTTTTCTGTGGCTCCAGAACAGCTTTTGGACGATTCCGCGCTCCAAGAAACAGCTTTCAAAGCGGACATATGGGCGCTTGGCATAGTGCTACTGGAAATGGCAACGGTATATGGCTTATGAGTCAGTTTTACTTATAGTCTAGAGACTAAAGTGTACATAAACAGTTGAATGTTTCTTATATTAATTGTTAGGCCTAGGGTGTTTTATTGCGAGATGTCTGGTCGTTGAAGCAATATATGACTATCCTGAAATGTAGTATGAACAGAGGTAATCTGGAATATAATTCTCTATCATCTGAAGTTTGTGATATTATGCATTATAGCTGAGAAGGGTTCTCTTCTTGGTCCAATATTCAAGGCACTGCAGTCCGCTTCAAGTGTAGCCAAAAACGTATTCGAACTTGATGAGAAACTACTCAGTTTTGTCGAAAGATGCCTTTCGCTGTTACCATCACAGCGTCCCTCACCAAGCGAACTCTTATCAAACGTTTGTATGGAGAGAGCTAGTGAGCCAGCATACTTCGAGTCTGTGGAATCAATGAGCAGTCAGTAATTTGCTCATCCACCTAGGAAGTGATCGCATCCAACTTACCGTTTTTCAGAAAGGATCGTCTCAAGTAATAGTAATGATTGGATTTTGCGAGAAATGGCTGCTGAAGACGCTTTTTTTCTGTGGAGGCTCTGTGGCTCTTCTGCTGAGGCTATTCTTGTCAGAAACAATGTTATAACCCTTCGTCATCCTGTTCTTACCAATCCAAGGTAGCGCGTTTTGAGTGTTGAGTTAATGAAATTGTTTACTTCTTTTCATCTTTTCCCAATCTTTGCTGATATTTGGCGTGGCATTTCTACATTCAGTATTGTGGTGGAAGACCTCCGTATGTTTGGAAATGACGAGGCGCGTAAATTCTATGTGAGACCTGGTGTAGTGATGCTTCCAGACAAGAACTTGCGGGAGGTAAAATTATAATAACCGCCGATGTAAGCAGCCATTTTACATGTATTCCAGAAGATGACATCTATTCCATCGGTGGAGATCTTTTTGCAGTCATTTCTGGCCACATCGGACTCTGTTAAGAGTCATGATGAAAACTTGTCGGTAATCGTAAAAGAAAAGGACATGGTCTATCAGGTTAAATTAAAAATTATGATCGATGTACATTTATTTTATTTTTTCATTGTTTGCTGGGACTTTTTAGGCTTCTAGAATGCGGCTCATAACACATCTATTGAACTCGCGCTTCTATAAAGTGACCGAACTTCTCTCATCAGTTGCTTCAGACATTCCACCAATGCGTAGAGCAGATGGTCAGTTCTGTTCAAACATAATGTTTAGGCAAATTTAAACTAC